TATACTATTTGACACATTTTATTATTTTAAAAAAGTTACCTTTCCACTGTTTCTACTGTTGGGTACATAGTTGCTTTCGTTGATCACAAGCCTAAAATCTTTCAAATTTACTTGATGAAGAATAATTTCAGTGTAAAATGTACTAAGCGATTATTCAATCCGAATAAAAATTTAATATACTAATTGACACATTTTATTATTTAAAAAAGTTACCTTTCCACTGTTTCTACTTTTGGGAACGTAGTTGCTCTCTTTGATCACAAGCCTAAAATCTTTCAAATTTACTTGATGAAGAATAATTTTAATGTAAAATGTACTAATACGGTTATTCAAATCTTATTCACTTTCACTCCTTTATTTCAAATGTAGTATAAGGTAAATTATTTTCCTTTTGTGTACCAATCTTAAACTTCAGTTATAAATTAAAAGTACAGCAGAAAATTTTATAACATTATTTGTTCGATAATAATTTATTACATTAAATTGAAAAACAACAAGTTAAAGTTAAAAAAAGGAAAGTATCAGCAGTTTCACCTGTTAAAATAAATGAATAATTATTAAATTAATGCATATTAAAAAATTTTGACACTATATTACTTCATTACTTTATTACTTATATAAAAATGCTGAACGTTTTACAAGAGCTCGTTATAAAATATTTACAAAAAATGCTGCATCTTCACAATTACACAAAACGCTATTCAACTTAAAAGTTTATTTATACAACATAAGCAGGGTAAAGAATTTTCTTAAAATTTTTTTTTTTCATCAATAGAAATAACACAGCCACATTTTGAGAATTTTGAACTCTAAGTTCTATCTTAATCTTATAAATGTTGTTGAGAATTAGCTGAACTAACGAAAAATATTTTAATAAGAAATATTTTTACAAAGTTATTAAATTGTTTTAACTATCGCTAATTTGGGGAGATATTTGCACCCAGAGGAATATCACTGAAATCAAAGCATATTTAACAATTTTTTCATACTTTTTGAGTTCAAGCAATGCAGTGATGGAGGAATTTTTCAAATATTAAAATGCTTTTCATTTTTATAAACTTTGGTTTTGCTTATACTGAAATTTTGCCCCCTTATCTTCATCAGCTTAGAGGTTCTGGTTAGAGATAGATAATCATAGCCTTACATAACTTAATGACTTCCGAGCAGTTATTAAAATAGTTTATTATTCGATAACACTCACTATTTCATAAGATGAAAGAGCCTTTTAGAAATAATCTTAACGCTGGTTTTCGAAGCTCTGTCACCAAGGAAAATAAAAAAGCCATAGTATAAGTGCCTTACAATTGAAGCGATGCGATGATGCGATGATTTTAAGCTGGAAGGATAAAGCCCTGTTAATAAAAATGCTTTTCNTAAATACAAACGTTTATATATCAAATTGAAGGTAATTTAATGTAGAATTTAATAACAAAAACAAAATTAAAATAACTGTATTAGAAAATAAGTTATGCTCATTTTAGTAGAACAAACAAGCACAAATCGTTTTGAATAGGGACGTATTTTGTAATAAAAGCGTACTAGCCAATCACAAACACTGTTCTTAGTACCAATCAAATGTCTGTAACTATAGTTTAGGTTATATGCATGGTAAAAGAGTTATTGTAGTGGAAATATTTTGTGGAATGATGAATACTAGTACAATTAAATAGAGTATTGCTGTTTTTGAATATTTAAAAGTCCTTTTAACAATTACTAATTTTAAACAATGTCATCAACAAGAAGAACTAATTGGACATCTACAAAAAGAAGCCGAATTGACGTTTTGAGAGAAAATGGCCTCTCTTATGCTGAAATTGCAAGACAAGTTAGTGGTTCAGTGACTCGTTCTGGTGTACGAAAGTTCTGTTTACGTTATGAAAAAACGAAATTAGTGGAAAATAAAGCCAAATCAGGCCGAAAAAAATGCACAAGTGCTACTGCCGATAGAAAAATTAAACGGCTATGCCTTCAAGATAGAAAAATTTCATCAGATACTATTAGATGTGAAATGAATGCAGCGGGTATTGCAGTAAGTTCAAGAACAATAAGAAGAAGGTTATCAGGATTTGGACTACAAGCTAGAACTCCAAGGAAAAAAACACATTTAAATCAAAAGCAACGCAAAAAACGAGTTAAGTGGGCAAAAGAACACATTAATTGGCCAGAAAATCAATGGAAGCAAGTAATCTGGAGCGATGAGAGTAAAATATCGCTCTTTGGTAGTGATGGTAGATAATACGTGAGACGTAGAGTAGGTGAAGCACTTCATCCTGATTGCATTGAAGCAACTACAAAAAACCCAACAAATGTTATGATTTGGGCATGTATGTCTGCAGATGGTGTGGGCCGAATTCAAGTGATTGATGGCATCCTGAATGCCGAAAAATACATTGAAACTGCCCTGAAACCAAAATTGATACCTTCCATCAGGGATCTCTTCTCCAACAACGCACCATTTATTTTTCAGCAGGATTCAGCTCCATGCCACACAGCAAAAGTATGCAAAACATGCTTTCAAAATAAAGGCATAGGTATGTTACCATGGCCAGGAAACAGCCCTGATCTCAATCCAATTGAAAATTTGCGGCGACGCTTGTAAATTCTTGTACGCAAAAAACGTCCATCCAATAAAAGACAACTTTTTGAAGCTATAATTGATTCTTGGCACCATGTGATTACGAAAGATGAACTCCAAACACTCCTTCACTCGATGAAAAGACTCTGTGAAGCTGTCTTAAAAAATAAGGGTTATCTTACTAAGTATTGATTGTGTAAGCATCACTTTAAAAAAATGCAAATCTAAGATAGATCTTACTATTAGTTGCATAATTTTTTTTGTATTACAGATATTGTAATACTGTATTTATTATTAAATTACCTTCAATTTGATATATAAACGTTTGTATTTAAGTGAAAATTAGACCACAAAGTTTTTTTTATTTTCGCATAACTGTGGCTTTTCTCCTTACTGACGTTTTGCGCCATTTTCAAAATAAGCGTAAATAGCGCTGAGTTTAGATAGGCTAAACTTGACCTTACTGTCATGAGTAACAGTTTCAAACTAACAAATATAGCATGTTCTTCGCAACAAAGCATCATTTCATATTACAACGGAGCTTTCGAGAAAGAGCCTTAAGGTACTGATTCATTGATTTTTGTTACATTCTTTATCACAATTAATATGCTAAAGAATGTCAGAAAATTTTCTAAAGTCTGTTCTCTAATTGTGAACAAAACTTTAAAGTGTTACATTGAAGTGGCTGGTAAAATTGAATAGTTGGCATATTCAAGAATGTATATATTCTTGAACACTCATGATAAACCCCAGGAAAACAGCAAGAAAGGAAAAGATACGTAAAAAACTTTCTCTTTCTCTGCACCAATGAAATAAATTGATCTAAAACCTCACCACTGTCATACTACATTTGAGATGCATGTGTTTTTATGTACAGTGAGCTAAAAAATCGATAACTTTAGATAACTCCTGTTTAAATGATCGGATTTTCGCGTACTAATTGCCAATCTTTATGGTTCAAAGAGCTGACCTCAAATGAACGAATTAATTAGAATTGATTATTAATTGAGTTTTGAAATCAGACACAAATAAAAGTAATTTTGTTGAATCATATTTTCATTGGAATTTTGCAGTTCACTATTTTAAGGGGGCAGTCACAATCTGAAAAATATGGTCTCAGTAGTTTAGTCCAAAAAGTTATCGAAACTTTAGATCCCTTAATGTTATTTCACTTTTTGATTAATTCACTGTATATCTAGAACCATTTAAGCGAATCCGAAATCTTTTGCGCTAAGTTATAGAACTAATATCTTAAAGGTTAAATCAATGTTAAAAATTACAGTTATTTACTAATTTCTTATTATTTAATATAATAATGCACGAAAAAAGTTTGAATTGTAAAGTCTATAAAATTTTACGTTATTTCAAACTAAGTAATTTTAAATGACAGAATGCAAAATTTGGGTGAAATCATTTAAATAGTTTATGAGTAATGAAATCTTTATTTCTTAATTCTGATTTACTCAGGCATTTAGCCATTAGAATTTATTGAAAATTCTGTTACGATGAATTGACTATTGTTTTACTTTTAACTGGATAAATGATGATTTTTTTAAGCTAACGACGTTTGTGTTAGTCCAATAGTACATTTGAAAGAAGCTAATTATAATTTAACTTCTTAATTATCATGCTACGAAAACTTGATATCTAAACATTTTCGCATTCAATTTTATTTATATGCATGATTAATTTGATGGGTATGTATTACGTAAAGGACACCATACTTATTTATGATACTAGTTTATTTTTAGATCATTCAGGCCGATTTTAGTACATTATGGGAAAGAAGTCATTTTATTATTTTGTTACAAATGTAATGATTCAAACAGTGATTTAGTTAAATGATGATAAACTTTAACTAACCTTGAAAAAGCTAACAGAGCAAATTTATTTGTTTTTTAAGTTAAATTTTTTAGTGGTTCATCACATGATATTTTCACGTGACATCACATGACCCATTTTAAAGTTAACCCCGTTTCTCTCACATAGAGAAGATAGTTCAGTAGTTTTTTCTTTTATAAAAATATTAATAAAATTTTGTTTGAGTTTTTTGATCGGAAGTAAATTACTTGTTTCTTTCCAAAAAATACTCGGACTTTTCTTGTTATTTGTGGCTAATTTATATCCTTGTGTGTCAGGTTTTGAGAGTGCTAAATTTGATCAGGACTTAATTTCGAAGTCCTTGTTTTTTCTAAATACCACAAATATGAAATTTTCATGATGACACAATGTTTTTGGTGGCAAAGCTTTTGAACAAATATTTACGAATTTTCTCTACGAAAATTTTGGTAGCAACCAACCAAATTTATGATACATATACACAAGGTGTCAAAAGATTGCACAAAATTTTCAAGCCCGTTACGCATTGTAGCAATATTTTATGTACAATCACATATGAGTGTTGATCCATCAAACAAATGACAACTTTTTATAAAACGAGAAAAATATCTTTTTTATTTTTCACACTACGATGACACTTTTAATAACGATAATGAAAAGATTGTTTTGAAGTAAGCTTCTAAAAACTACTTATATAATTTTCTGCTGCATAATCCTCTTTAGCCACATTCAAAATGTTAGAAAGTATTAAAACAGTTTTAAATTAGATGATGTTCCTAAAAAAATGTCCCACTTTCAATGTTATATTTTAGAAATTTATTATAGAATATATACCACAGCAATTTATCTTACTAGATTCTTACTGGTTTCCTCGTTTGATGAATGAGTTTTCTTTATAAATAAACTGTTAGAATATACCATTTAAACTGTGATATTCTATACCAGCACTCTGTATAACTGCTTTATTTGAAAAATATAGTTTCACTGCAATTATAATTGTTGGTGTAATCTTTTAAAAATGTTTAACTATGGCACACAATCCAATTAAAAATTATTAATTTCTTTTCTTGGAGAATAATATTTTTTTTCACAATGAAAGAAGACTTTTAAACTAAATGAGCAATAATTAAAACAAAATTAAGAAGCCAAATAATTTGATAATATTGGCCAGTAATGTTAAGTGCATTTAAATCTCCGAGCGTGGAGTTGCTACAAATATCACAATTGAATGTCCACTCTAAAGTCTCATCAAGACACATGTTACTGCGGGCACACAGTTGAAGATGAAGAGTATATAGGATAAGGTGCCATCAGAGGTCCTAATATTGGTCTATTGAAATGACTTTGCAAGAAATGCATACCAAATCCAAAGGACGGCAATATAGGGCGCGTTGCCATACGCAATTTTTCCATTTCAGCTTCTTTCAATCGTTTCTCTTTTGCTCGACGATTCTGAAACCAAATTTTTACTTGTGTTTCTGTTAGATTTAAAGAAGATGAGAACTCTGCTCTCTCAGCGATGGACAAATATTGTTTCGAGCGGAATTTTCTTTCTAGTGCCAACAGCTGTTGAGTTGTAAAAGGAGTTCGAGGCTTTCTGTTACTTTTATGTTTCCTCAACTGGCATTTCATGGCTGGCAGCTTTGCTCCTTCCACGGGTTCTGTTAAAAAGATATAATTAATATATTAGAACACTAATATAAATATATATATACAAAATATGAAACATTTTTAGAATTTATTTTTTATTTCACACCAACAACTCCACAACAAATTGTGATGCATACACATTAAAATAATTATTTTCCTAGATCAATAATACCTGTGTTTTGAAGTAAAATCTTTAAAAATTTCAAATATACAATGAAATATAACTAAATATATTGTTCAAGTGTTGATTTTTTAACTGAAAATTCTAAACATTCTTAGGTAAAGCACGGTAAAAATAATAAATTCTCACTTAGACTCTCTTAGTTAAAAAAACATATCTAACATTATACAAAATATCAAAGAATTCTATATTAATCTTTTTTTGCAATGAGTGTTAAGAGTAAAGAGATTTTCTCAAAATCAACCTGAAAATGAATTTAAAGAATGTAATTGCTGTTGTGTTTTATTTATCAGCCAGTGAGAAAAAAGAAGCTACTATAACTTTAATTCTAAAGATTGGAGAACAAAAATTAAAAGAAACATTTAGAAACGTAATAAGCGTATTGCAATAGTTTAATTTTAATCAATCATATAATTTTAATCAATATTTGAGTCGTGGTGGTTCAGGGATAGAGCTTTTGTGCTTCAATGAGGTGAACCGGATTCGAATCCCAGTGATGGCTGATCGATACGAATTCCGCACTTTGCTCGCATCGACTACAGTGCTGGCGTAAATTATCCTCAGTGGTAGACGGATCATGGGTTAGAGTCCTAGAGTACGAAAACCACCCACTAACCGTGGGTGGTCTTCGTGGTTTTCCTCTCCATGTAACGCAAATGCTGGTTAGTTCCTTCAAAAAGTCCTCCACGAAGGTAAATTTCCCCCAATACTTGATTCAGGAGTTCCCTTGTCTACTGAAATGGGTTCAAAATTACAAGGCTATGGAGTTGAGCATTGGTAGTCGTAAATCGAAAATTGGGTCGGCTGTTCAACAACGGTTAAAAAATATAAAATATAGACAGACAATGGAAAGAAATTCGAAATTTTCATCGAAATTGCCAATTTTCATCCAGATGGATACCTTAATATCTCTTAACCTCAATAAAAAAGTGATTTTTTTTAAAAGATACAATGGGATACAAAAGTCTCCTTTCATTATTTTTTTATTTTTTTTTTATTTTTTAAATTTCCTGCTTTTTGGCTGTTTAAATGGATAAAACATAAATAACTTTTATATTATTTATCATTATAATCAAATTAGAACAGTATCACATTCTTGTTTATTTAATATTATATGAAACAATATTTTCAAACTTGCAAAAACTTTTACCATGCCGTCATACTAGCTTGAATCTTAAATTATTTCTGTCATAAACATTCTGTTTCCATTAACAAAATTATCAAGATGGGTAGACACGTACAGTGCGCAAAATGAAAAACGGACCACCCTTAATAACTTTCGATCTAATTATGAGATCTTCACGTTCTAGGACTCATTCTTAATGGTTCCCATTGGTCAGTGGAGCTATCCAAGGTTTGGACCCCTTACTGTTAATTTCACTTTTTGCGTATTTCACCATATCTCGAAAACTTTTTAAGTGAATCTAAAAATTTTTGCACAAAATTATAAATTTCTCTTATCCAGGAATAATGGATAATTCCACAAAAAAAAAAAATATTACAGAATTTTTTTTCTTATTATTATTTTATTTAGTAATAAATGAAAAAATTTTTAATTGTAAAGTACACAATTTTTTACATCATTTTAAAGTATGTAATTTTACATGGCAAAATACAAAATTTGAATGAAATCGGTTGTATAGTTCCTGATAAATGGAATTTTAAAGTTCAATTTCTCAGAGACTGTTCAACTAATTTTGCTCAAACTTTGTATTTTGCCATCTGAAATTACATACTTTAAAATGGTGTGAAAAGTTTTAAGCTTTACGATTCAAACACTTTCGTCTAATATTAAATGAAATAATAGAAATGATAAATATTTACTAAAAGTTATTTTTTGCGCGGAATTATCTTTGGATAAATGAATTTTATAATTCAGTGCAAAATATTTTAAATTCGCTTAGAAAGTTCTCGAGATATGGCGAAATGCGTAGAAAGTAAAATTAGCATTAGGGGGTCCAAACCTTGGATCGCTCTCCTGAGCAAACTATTAGGACCATATTTCACAGATTGCAGCTACCCCATATATTTTAGGGGTCAAAAATCCGAATCCATTCTTAAAAAGGTATGCTTATCAGAGAAAGTACGTTTTTGTGTCTGATTTCGTAATTTAAAATATCGTCTGCAGTAATTAATTAGTATATTTGAAATCACCCCCTCGAATCATTAAAATTGAGTCCTATAACGTGAAGATCCGATCATTAGATAAAAAGTTATTTTGGGTGGTCCGTTTTTAATTTTTCTCACTGAACATCTGAAGTTGGATGAAAGAGTAACAAAATTAGTAAACAAAGGCAGATCCTCTCGTCGAATTACGTCCTCATTATCAATAGGAAGATCAGCTGTTAATGGTCTGATTGCAAATTATCGAGCTGGATGTGATTTAAATTGAAATCTTTAAAGTGTCAGACCACGAAAAACAATAGAAAGAGAAAACTGTAACATAAAACTTAAGTTAACATCGGATGAAGAAGAAAAAACGCCACAGCCTAAATTGCTCACTTATTACGTGATGAAATTGCTGCTAATATTAGTCACAGTAGGGGAGAGTGGTGTCAATTGTAACATTTTTTACTTAACTATTTTTAACTAACAAAAAATCCAATATATTATTAGTATTAATTGACAGACGAGTAAAGTAGACTATCCTCTACTAGAAAAAAAATTAAATACCTGATTTTAAATATTATTATATTAGTTATTAACAATTTTTGACAGTCGTGCACTTGTTACAATTGTCCCCACTTACGGGGTCAATTGTAACAGTTCATAAATTCAACTAAAACATAGTTAATTATACATATTATCATAGTTGTGATATATTTTTTTATTGATCAAAATAGTAGTGATATTTTAGGAGTAAAAATAATAATGAGCAGAGACCTAAAGGGTTAAACTTTTAACTTTAAGGGGTTAAAAATTTTAATTTATGCTGTGAAAGGTGACAAATAAAATAATGCACATGCAACATAATATAAATGCTATAGGAAACTATTGGTGGTTCTTAAAGAGTTAAGTAATGGTTTGTAAACATAAGATTATTTATTTTCAGCTGTTACAATCGTCCCTTTACTTATTGTTACAATTGTCCCCAAGACGCCATTTCAGCTTCATTTGTTAAAAACAATGCTAGTTAATTAGCAAAACTAATCTTTTTTTTATTGAAATGTTAATTAAGGTGTCCACTTACATATTCGGTTACTAATTTTTATTTGTTTAAACAAAATTACTTTGTTACAATAAAATATTCTAATACCAAAAAAAGTACTTGCGTGACGTGAAAATATCTTTTGTGATGTAACTCTTTCAAAAGTACATAAAAATGGTTGCCATCAGGGGTGTACATGTAGATTTGTTAAATACACCTTGTGCACCACCTAGGAACCAAATCTAGAACCCGACACTCGAAATTTTTGCTTTGTTACAATCGTACCCTGTTACAATTGACCCCACTCTCCCCTACTATTACAAGACGTTTGCATTATACTACATAACCGAAGAATGGTACGAAGTCATTTATCAATTTCAGTAAATGAAAATCAGAAGGATAATAGTAATTTGCGAAAAAAGAACTAGATTTTTGAGAATTAAAGAAAGTATGTTTTTCTAATGAATTCAATTAATTCGGGATCGACAACCGAAAAGAATCCCTATAATCAAAAATAGTTTTTAAAACTGTCGCTGAACAGCCTACCTAATTTTCTAAGGATTCAATAAGTTATGAATGATTGAAAATAAATTCGTGGAGGATATGATTTCAAAGAATGATGAGCTACAATTTTGCTGTTTTACTTATCCTAAGAAAATTTTTGTTCAAAAGTTATACTATATTTGGCTTCCCAAATCATATGATCCCTGAAAATTATCTTTTTTCTCCAGTTATTTCCCAAATACTGAAATAAAATACCTGACTATGGTCACTATCAGAAATAAGCTTCGGGTCAAGGTTTATACCTATAAGTATTTTCCCATTTTGACATCCTGTTTTCATATCTTTCGCTTTATACCTTGTGGGTGTACCAGAATCGGATGGCCTATCAGTAAAACAGATCTCCTCTCTCCTTTATTACTTCAGGGTACCTACATTAATAGAGGGGAGGGAGCATTGGATTTTCTCAGGAGTGAAACCACACATTTTATCAGGTGAGTATAATTGAAATGTATCTAACTGGCAAAATGTTAAGAAAAAATATTATTTCTATTAAGATGATTTAGTAAATGTTTTTAAAATTACTAATCATATTGAATTATTTACAGAGATTAATTAAATTATTATTAATTGTAATATTATCTATTATATTATTATGATTAAAATATTATTTTGTATTATTATTTTTTGTATTATTTACTAAAATTACATTATTATTACATTTTATATTGAATTATTTCAGGAAACAAATTTAAAAATGCGTAATTATGTAACTAACGATACTTGTAGCAGAAAAAGCCAAAATTGATTTATTTTTTTAATACCGTTTCTACATCAATTATCTAAAAATTTTCAAATTGCGTAAAAGGAGTTTTAAGATCTTAATTAGTAATGTAAGACAGAAAATATCTTTTAAGTACATATCATTGATAACTTTTAAAAGCATTATTTTAGTACGTGCCTCATAAAGACCACCTTGCCCTTTTTATGATCCTGGTCAAATAAAGTTTAAAAAAGAGTATACTTATCACGGATCGCTTATTAATAATTAACACTTAAAAAACTACTATCAAAATATGTAGAGTCACTATTGAGGAAAGAGGGATCACTAATGAAGACAAAAACTATCTTACTAATGAATAGTATATGTCTATAAAACATACAAAAATACTCTAGAATTC